CCAGCGGCAAATTCCAGAAGATAATGGCCGAGGTAAGGCTGCTCTCGGCGGGTTCATGAGCGCAGAACGGCCGCTGACGCCCTGGAGCTCACATCTCCGAAAACGTCTAAGTAAAATTTCAAATAGACGTTATTATTAACAAACCACATATTTGATAGTGATGTTACAGTCAATACGGAAGCTCTGCAGCTTGTATAAATAAAAAAAACCACATTTCACATCAAAGCACTGTATCGGAGCTTGATCGTTTTGCCAAAAGCACGAGATCTATGATGTTTGAAGCTTCGTTCGTCTGAAAACCATGTGACTGCTTCAGTATCTGGGGCAAGTTCAAGCTCAAACCGGTGCACCGTTTTGCTACGGTTTCCGGTTTGAACGACATGTTTCCTGGAAACGATGTTCAACGGTGTGCAACGGGGTTTGAGATGCGTTTTCTCTTGCTAGGTGGGTGTGTCAAACATGTCAGCCCAATCAGCAGCAACATGTATGTAAACCACGCGGTATTAAAGAGACAGCTCGCACAATGTAATTAACATCCACATAAATTCACAAGAGCAAGTATATTGTTTGCACATGTTTATTTACATTAAAGGCAAAATAACTGAAATAATAAGAGCACAAGTATAGATCTGGAACTTCTTTAAGTCTGTCTAAATATAATTTAGTAATTGCAATGTGTTCTGAACACAAAGAATGGCCTTCTCAGCTGCCATAGTTGCAACTCTTGCGTCACCAGAACAGGGTGTTCAACGCACCACCGTTTCTGTTTAAAAAACGTTTTGCACCGTTTTTGTCGAGGCTGAACGCAGCCCTGGTTCAAACGACGCGAACCTCAGCGCCGTTTCCTTTACATTATATTAGGCCTACTTTATAATGCATTAGCATTGTTTTTCAATATCGTAATTATTAAGCTCAAATTAACTTATGAAATAGCTATGAAATATGAAATAACTATGCCTATGAAATAACAGGACTGAGGCCGACTTAAAATAGACAGATCGCAGATTTAATTGATAAATTTTTGTTTCATTTATTTTACTTATTTTAGTGCCATTACACCGACACAAATGAATGACTTTGACAATGGCCATTATTTATATTCAATAAAATAAAATAAAGAATCAGTTGTGTAACCCACATTAAAATAGGGTTTAAATAAACATAAATTAATACATAGATATTGATTCATAATATAAAATAACATGATGATAATAAATATAATATTTCATAGATACTAAATAAATGTATACAAAGGGTGCGTCTCAATCAGCTCCCTTGTTCAGTAGTCAGGGCACTGATCAGGGAGTCGGCCATTTTAAGGGCAGTCTCAATCGCAAAATCCTTCCAGTGCACTGGAACGTTCGCTCCCTGAAAAATCCCACAATGCATCGCAAAAACTAGGGAGCATCGGCGCTCACTATGCTCCCTTACCAGAAATAATGTCACATTTCCGAAGCATGAAACATAAACCACACGAGCCAACTCGATAAATACAATGACGTGCGATAGAAGATTTGAAAAGACAAGAATTGAACACATCTATTTAACAATTATAATTACCGGTAATATTCGGCTGAAATGTTGTAAGAACATGTAACGGAACGATGTGTTTAAAGAAAATAAAAAATAATATAAAAATTATATTGGTCCTGCCTTTTGTTTATTAACTCCAGTGATGACGTTCTACTATGTTGTCCGTTGACGGTGTAGGTAATCATGTCACTGGAATTCGAGTGATCACTGTCCCAATGTGCAGTGAGTCAGGGAACTTACTGGCCGAATTCGTGTACACGATCTACTGATTCACGAGCTAGGGAGCTGATTGAGACGCACCCAAAGTCAAATGTATTCAATTCAATAAGTGTTTATAGGGAATTTGAATAAAAATACACCCATAGGAATTGTATTGACACTTCCCCTTTAAGAGACTCACTCGCGTGCACATCAAACGTAGAGCCAAAGCCACTAGAAGGCAAGCCAGGGCTGCGTTCAGCCTCGACAAAAACGGTGCAAAACGTTTTTTAAACGGAAACGGTGATGCGTTGAACACCCTGTTCTGGTGACGCAAGAGTTGCAACTATGGCAGCTGAGAAGGCCATTCTTTGTGTTCTTTTTGAAGAATTTTCGGAGCCTGATGAAATCGGTATAATACTTGTGCCCTTATTATTTCAGTTATTTTGCCTTTAATGTAAATAAACATGTGCAAACAATATACTTGCTCTTGTGAATTTATTTGGATGTTAATTACATTGTGCGAGCTGTCTCTTTAATACAGCGTGGTTTACATACATGTTGCTGCTGATTGGGCTGACATGTTTGACACACCCACCTAGCAAGAGAAAACGCATCTCAAACCCCCTGCACACCGTTGCACACTGTTTCCAGGAAACATGCCGTTCAAACCGGAAACCGTAGCAAAACGGTGCACACCGGTTTGAGCTTGAACTTGCCCCTGGTCTTCTATACTCTTTGCCTGCAACCTTTATCCAAAAAAGCCTTAATGGCTAATGCTAACGCTTCCGTTTTGCAATTACGTGGGAAAGGACACTAGAGGCCGTTTTTTTTAATGGATGTCAATTGAGGAGAGGCTTCACTATGCTGAATAAACAGCTTTTTAGAGGAAACTGCTTATAATTTAATGAATCGACAGCCTATCAGCTAATCTCCAACATGTTTTACACTAAGCAATACTTTTGGATTGAACTATTTTTAGAGTTTACACCGGGAAAAAAATGCCGTTTTATAAGAGAAGTCACTGACTTTTTACGACAGGTGCGATTCAGCTTACGGCATTTCTCATTAATTCCTGTGGTATCCATAAATGGCCATTGAGTGTCGCATAACTCTGACTGAAATTCAATGACGTCAAGACTGTAATGTGATTGGTTATTAAGGCACACGTGATCCAAGTTGAGCGTTATGCTTTCTCCAATAGTAAGTAATACAAACCCTCTTATCTCCCTATAGTAAGACAATCTCTGGTAGAACAACGGCAGAAAACAGAGAGAGAGACAGCGGAAGAATTAAAGAGACTAACAAGTGAACTAACTAAGTAATTACCGTACTTGATTTTAACTCGTTAAAGGTTTTGGTCAGGTTTTAAGGTCAGACTGGATTTCAGAATTTCCAGAGGCTCCTCTGTGGTGTATGAGGAGAGGACGCAGGACACTGACAATTTAGATGTAGAGCCAACCCAGACTGCAACTTTGATCTTCACCCAACTTCGTTACATCTGCAACAAGACCTGTTACATGCTCTGGATTTGTCTGTAAACTCAAAGTGATAAAGAGTTCTTGGATCTTTTTTTTTTCTGAACAGGTGTAATGAATCAGTCCACTGAAGGCGAGAGTAGTGAAGAACCCAAGTGCAGTTTATTTACAGTGTGATCCAAACATCCAAACAATAATCCGAGACTTGACTTGACTTGACATGAACAGACTTGACTTGACGAGGCATGAACAGACTTGACATGAACAGACTAGACTCACCAACAGCGGGATAAATACATTCAATACACGACGACAGACAATGGCAACATGATGGCTACTTATAGGAATTACATTACACAACAATTTGAACTGAACTGCATTACATGACTAAACAGAACTGAATTCAACTGCCATACACAATTTTATTGTATTTTGTTTTATTTTCATGTCAATGTCATGATGTAACATATGATTGCTTTACTTTGCCTGTTTGAATTTGATTGAATTGTTCTAATACCTGTGAGGAGGAAAAAGAGTTAAACTCTTAAGAGTTCATTCAGAAAAATAGCAAATCGTAAATAGGTTTAACCAAATAATTAATCGTTATTAATGCTAACTTTAATAGATTATCAAACTCAAGTGGATCCACTACATTAAATTAACTTATTTCTAAAATTTTCTAAAAAGAAATAGGAAAGAAGAGATTACTTTTATTACTTACCTTTTATCATCTGTGATTATCCTTCAATTGATTCATTGTTGTGTTTTGTTTGTCATATAGTAAAGTGCCGGTTTTTGTTTCTTAAATCTGGTCTCCAGTCTAATTTTATGTTTATTTCTCCCACTCCTTGAGAACCTAGAACTGGTCCAGTAGCTTAAGTGTTGCGTTGGAGTATGCAGATGCTACAGTTGTAGAACCAGATGTGAAACCAGCGGCTGTAATGGAACACAGCCATTGTGTTATTCGTTTTTATGACCACTAGATGGCCACAACATAACCCGTGTTGAAAAGCTTCGAGTAAAGGGACCTTTTATATGGATGACTCTTAACATTCAAAACACACTAATTTAAAGCCTGCACACTGTCTGGTTCTGTCCACAATTTTGTATTTGGAGAGAAATTTCAGGAATTGTAAAAGATTTCCTTTGTTATTGGTCTTTGATCACTTCAGGCATATGCAGACTTCTTGAGGGGCAGTGGCCTAAAACCAAGAAAAATGACTATTCCCCAAATCTGTGGTCAAATATTGATACCATATTATCCTTACATACACAACCATACAAAATTGCACATTATAACTAATTGAAAATGCTTTATAAACACAATCTTTGCAATATAGGCTCTCATAAAGCAACGAAATAATGAAGTGAACCATTCACGCACTGTTTGACAAGAGATGTCATTTAAGGTTGATGCAATTTATACACACAGTAGCATAGAAACGGTCACTCTTTCTGTATAACCTGTTGATCAGGATGTAAAATTGCCTAAGATTTCCCTGGTAATAAAGATGCTTGAGTAAAAACTGTTAGATAAACATGGCAACCACCATTTAGACACAACAAGCTGACCACAAACAATTTATGCAGCTACCCAAAAAAAAAAAAAATTTTTTTGGACATACGCACTTGAGAGAAACCTTTAACAATACAATGCTTAAAAAGACGAGGCCAACAACAGGCATCCATTATATCAAGGTCTGGGACAATGAACTAAAAAGTGGTGGAGAAATACACACCCAATGTATAACATTAATTTGGAATCTTCTAAAGCACAAAATCAACATTATCTACTATTTTTATAATTGTGTTTATTGATGTTGAAAAAAAAAACATCTAATAAGAGTTACATGTGAACACAGAAACATACAGAGGTATTCATTCATTATGGAAAAGGATGAAAGATTTTGTAAGGCAGATTCTGACCTGCTAAAATCGCCGAAAATGACTAGAGAATGAAAGTCCTTCATGAATAACAAAACAAGTGGGGAGTTATTGTTTGTAAAATTGGAGCTTAGGCTGCACAGGAAACATTTATGAGTGGGTCATATCAGGCTTAGTCTTTGTATTGGTTCACCATCTCTTCCAGTTTAGTCTGGTTGGACCCAGAGAAATCATCCAGCTACAACAGAAAACAGCAGATTAAATTATCCTTACAATAATGGGAAGTAAATCAAACTCAGCATATTCATAGAGAAATATCTTTAACTTTGTACAGTTATGTGACTATTATTAGTTCACTTTCTTGTATCATTTAAGACTTATGGCCTTAAATCTGATACAACAAAATTTAAGACTTAAGACTTTTTAAGGACCCACGGAAACCCTGTAATATGTGATTATTATTCATTCAACTAGAGGAAAGACAACAGAACAAACCTTCTTCCCGTTCTTGTAGAAGTGGAATGTTGGCATACATTTAATCTCACAAGACTGGGATACATCCTGCAAAACACAGAACATCACTTTAATATGCCTTAGGAAGCTTTATTGCTCTTATCCAACTTCTTTTAGAAAAGTAATTGCACACTGAGAGAAAGGAACAAAATCAAAAACAAAAGTTTAATTGGGATGTAACCATAGCGTACATTTTAGGTAATTCTACTACCCTCTAGTGGTGTACATCATGAGCTAAGACAGCAAATTAAGAACCCATTTCCATTACCAAAAAAAATAAAAACAATCGAGCTGACATTTCTTCCATCTAAATGGATTTAGGCCTAAACTATGGTTGCAGGGGAATAAACAATACGATTCATGAAAGCCAAAGCTTTTCCTCCCATACAAGAGGTGTTTCCAGTGATTGAATTATGGTGAAACATAATTATTGAATTCCTTCTGGCTACCACAGTTTCAGTCTAAAAAGTTTCACACTGGCCTGTCTGTCAGTTTACTAACAAACATACATTATCTGCTGTCCTCTAACCAGCACTGTTTGAGAACAGCAAAACTTTTTATGTACATTTATAACACTGTACTTTGTCTTTTCCTACCCTGGAATTAAGTTACATAAAAGTATATAAAAACGCTGCCATGTGAGTGTTTCTAATAAAAAGACTGAGGGAGTAACTGCAAATTCAACATCTATCTCCCTTCTATTATTTTCCTCTTTTGGAATGTCATAGAAACTCTATTGTAGATTTTTTTTTATTATTATTTTGTTCTTGGGGCAAATGAGAACAAATTATTTTTGTTGTAGTTTCCCTTTCCACTAAACAAGTTTTGACAACTATGACAAATTCTTCTGAGAAACCCAGAAATGTGAAAAGCATCCATTACTAGATGACAACCTAGACAACCTTATACTCTGAGCTGTTCATGTCTTCGAAGAGTTATGCATTTCTATGGCAACACTATTAATGCAACTATGAATTTGTGTAATCTGAATAATCAATATACAAAATAATGCAAGTAAAAGTTGTTATGCAAATGCTTAACATGCTTTTAAAGTTTATTAAGCAGGACATTAGACATTAATTATTCAGCTCTGTGCTAGCTACATTAAACTAGTGTGTGTCTTTAGTTTATTTTCTAATTAATCTTGCACTAAGTCATTAACAAAAGACAATTATAGGAATTCGTAAACAGAAACTTTACAACAATTAAATTACATTTCACTCCAGTCGCTGCCATTTTGAGTGGTTCCACGACACTGTGGCAGTCAGGTAAATTTAGCTCTTAGAAAATGACAAGTTCTACAAGGACGTGAAAGCTTTTTACAAGTTGGAATCTCATATTAACTGTAATTCCAAGCCCACGCGGGACACTCGTACTCTTTAGCCAATCAGCTTTGACCCTGTCTGTCGACCAATCATAACCCACTGTGGGCGTATGAATCTGGGCGTGCCTACCTGGATACTGACGTCATCAGTGCGAGACCACCGTTCAAGTTGATTTAACAGAGGTAAGTGCAGTTGATCGTTTTATTTCAGTTAACTAGCCAAGTAAAGGTTTATCGTTTTATTTTTGCATGTTTACTTAAAACTTGGAAGTTAAATCGGTCGTTTAGACACTCAAAAATGTGAATAATGTAAGCCAGAGGCTGCTATGAATACAGATAGTGTTCCCAAAAATGCAGCTGTCTTGTGTTGGCCACAATGTCTCGCCAAAATGAAGAAAGGGATTATACTCATTGCCCTGTTTTTGTTCACTAACACTGGGTGGCCAATGTCCAGCCTAACTCCCACTTAGCGCTGACCCTGCCCTCATTTTACAATGATGAATAGACCTCACGAGAACTCAGTGTATGAACAACGGCATATTTGTACTTACCATTTGTGCAACAGGATGCAGTGTTCAATTAATACACACTAAATGTTTTACTTGATTTTTCAGGATTTAAACACTTTGGCACAACATCTGGATGACAGTTACAGACGTCTTCATTCACATTAATCTTTATCTCTTTCATGTACATCACCTTTATGTATTCATTTCTTAATGTAATCAACATTCATTTACTTTTCATATTATATTACTGTGATTAACCATTGTTAATGTTATTCTTACTATGTACACGGTCTCCAATGTGTGCATGTTATCACATTGTCAACACTTGAATGCGAGCCATCACAGGACTTTACACACAAGACAAGCTCTGCTGTGACAGCTCTTTCATATTCTCAATAAAC